TATTCCGGAATCGTTTTTCCTTTTGAAGATCGTATCAATATCGTATAAAAAAAGTTGGTAACTAATTTCAAAGCGGACAACGAAAGGAGAGGTAATGGCCGAGATCTTGAGTTTCAGAGCGCTCCATTTCAATAGCAAAAGATATTTATTGTAAAAAAATATGAATATTTAAAGTGAAAAAAATCAGAAGCAATTTTGAAGCAGATAATTTTTTGTACAAGTTGAATCGAGAGTATTTCGGTGGAGTGGTTGAAAAGGCTTTGATATGAAAAATTATTACGTTTTAATAACGCAGTTTTTAATTTGAAAAGTACTTGTACAGCTGTTTTTATTCCAACAATTAAAAAGATATTCAATTGACTTTAAAATACATAAAAATCTGATGTATCTGCAAGTATATAGTATTTTTTAGAGATTACAGAAGCTTATAAGCTTTACTTTGCATAGCCGTTTAATGCATGGCTTAAGCTTTTGTTCTTATAATACGAGTGGGTTTGGCAAAAATATAATAATATAACAAGTGTTTTATGTCTTCATTTCATTCTTGAAATACATAATATATTGCTCAGATTGAAATTTTGATAGATTTTACTTTTGATATTAACAAGCCAATTATTAACATTTGACAATAAAAAAAAAACAAAAAGCCTGACGGTAAAAATGTAGTGCGTTTTTAATCTTATTGGTAGTTTCCATATTCCTAGTGTCACTCCCACAATTAACGAGTTAAAAAAAGTCAAGACGACAACGACACCTGCCAAGTTAAACTCTATTAAGCCGTTTAGACCACAGAGCGTGTTAATGAAATATACATACACTCGAAAGATAACCCTTCTTCTGACGAAGTCGCATTTACGTTACGCAGGATACTGAGTAACTTGTAAAATCATTTTTCGGTCTTTAAAGCTTGAAAAATGGTGTTTAAAAAATGGTATAAATTATAGAATGGTTGTAAAATAAAAATCGAGGCCATCGAGGTTATTGGCAAAAAGAGAACCACTTAAGTTGGATAGCATCCTCAAACCCCAAACTCCAATATTAAATTATTATTAAATAGCCCATTGTCAAATACACTTGGTACAACATAAGTGTGTAAGCGTTGATCATATTTGTATATAGAATAATACTAAATAATATCTACATATACTGAAGGCTAAAGTTAGGGTAGTTTTACCTGTAGACAATAATATTATACAACGTAATATGTGACTGTACTAGAACGAAAACAAGCAAATATTTATTGAGATGTTATGATTATGGGATTCCTTAGATTTCTGAGTTAATTCTTTCTACATGAAATCTGGGCCTCAGTTCGTCTATTTTAATGTTGTATCAATAGACTGTTGATGGAATGTCGTCGAAATAGTTTTGCACTTTTCGTATTCTATTAGCTATGTAACACCAATGGCCTCCCTTGATGACTTGTCACTAAACTGTCACTTATACAAATGTCATCGATTACTTTGCAATAGTTTGGTAAAGGGTATGTTTTAAATTTGTAAGGCAATGAGATGTTCAATATATCGACGATATATATGTATATCGACAGTCTATTGACACTGTGAATTTATATTAGCAGAATACCGATATTTTGACCAATTTCAATGGCACTTCAATAGCGTGTCAATGGGATGACAGTAAGCTATGTAAAAGTGTACGTTAACATGAAATAGGAGGATTGGGACCCTGGACTACTGTAGGTAATGCTGAGGTAAAAAAGCACCTCCAATTTCTCAAGAAGTATCATATTATATATCTATGGGGTTTTATTAATTCCTGAGAGCAGTTTACTTTAGTCAAGGCAACAAAAACATTATTTGTACATATAAAAAATCATACAAAAATATACATGAACTTATTTCATATACAGAATATCTTAACAAGGTGATTTAAAAGACTGATATGGTGTCATATTTGAAATGAAAGATTTAATTATAATACTTACTTAATGATACTCTTAAATTTAGTCTTCAATATTACTGGCCGTTCTCCGCAGTTTATAGTCACTGCTCATCTCCTTAAAATCATACCATGATGTTACATAATTTTTAACCTTATCGATAAATACTCTAACCAGTACAAAAGATTTTTCGGAATATTACCTTGTAGTTCCAGTAATTAGGACGTTTTAACAAACCATATTTATTATATTAATAAAGACATTGATTTCAATATTCGTATGTACGTATATATTCTGAGTATTAAATTATAATCTGATCTAAAAGTTTTACGCCTCTACAGAGGTATAGATGAGAACATCTTATGTTGATTCTGACCTCGATTATACGTAAGTTTGGGTAGAAAATAACTAACCAACTAAGTAAATTTAATCATTGTAAAATGATTTTGGAGTTCATCATCATCATCATCAACAGCCTATAACAGTCCACTGCTGGACATAGGCCTCTCCTTAGAAACTTCAATTGGGCTTAGTGATAATTAGTTTTGCATTATAATACTCGTACACCCAACAATATCCTGTGTATGAATAATACCTTACTTTGTCGTAGATAATTATCGAAGTTCGGTCGATATTCTACCATAATTATTGTTATTTGTCAAACGTTCGGCGAAATGGGACAGTTTAAATTGTTAAGTTACCTAAACTATTTTCTCCTCACCTATTGTGTGTTCATGTTCTGTATTTACGATAGAGAAATTGATTTTAGAGCAACCTAAATGAGGAAGGCCAAAACTTCCTTTCTAAGGAGAGGCCTATGTCCAGCAGTGGACTGTTAAAGGCTGTTGATGATGATGATGATGATGAAATGAGGAAGCTATAGTATAATATTCAACAACCTTTCATCTGAAATGTTTTCCAAGTCACATCTGTGATTTGAAAAAAAAAAATGCTTCAATAAGAACGGTTCATCAGTTTAGAAGCCAAGCCAGCCAAGCTAAACTTTTATGACAGATTTTATCAAATTTTCATAAATAAGAAAAAGATTATGTTTAGATCATTAAAATTTAAAATAGATAAGAAGAGTATGTGCTGGTGATATATTTTCTCCAGATCAAGAAGCAGAAGCTAAAATATTGATTGAAAAATCCAATCGATTACTATCTAGTATGTAATTTCATTTTCACTTTCACCCAGGTATCCAATTTTGTTAGAGTGCTACCTACGATTTTCGATTATGGCCCAGGGACAGACGCTTAAGTCCAATTTATTTCATATCCAATAAACATCTAACAACAAAAATAGATCAACGTAATGATATACCATTGTTGAAATAAGTTGTTTAAAAAAGTTTCTGTTTGGTTTTCAAACTCCAGTAGCAACCGTGCATGTTTGATCACTGTCTTATCGGTGATACTTCATTTTTTGAGCGAATATTGAAATCTTAAACCATTAAAATGATATACCATTATGGTAATAAGTCGTTTAAAAGTTTCTGTTTGGTTTTTAAACTCCAGTAGCAACCGTGCATGTTTGATCACTGTTAAATCGGAGATCCTTACTTTTTTGATCAAATATTTAAATCATTTGTAAATAGTAGTTTTTATATTAAAGTTGTTTACGATCGTAAATTTATTATCTTCAAACTTTCTGCTAATTCTTGTCGTGCTCTGTACTCTATATATCTGTACTCACTCTTTTCTTATTTTATGTTTCATAAAGTTCATCTAATTTTGGGAAATAATGCTATTCTTTAAGCTATTCCTTATGCTTAAATGTTTATAAAATGTACATAACATAATGTGTACAAACTACATAGCCCTTCCGATGATAAAATAAAACTGCGTTGTTTTTATTTCACCTTGAAATAAATAGATAGCCTTCTAATTATATATATTACTGATCCCCTTATTATTTTAGAAAGTTATTTTAGTAAGTTTATGAAATGGAAACTTGTAGACCGTGTAACTTACCTATATTATTTACAAAGTTTTACTTACATTCTTATTTCACTTTTCGTAACTTAAGCAAGAAAACAGAAAGACCAGGATTATACTCATATATGTGTCTGATATCTATACAGAATTCAGGTTATAGCCCATCATACTGGCTTATTACAAATTGACAGCCTTCAAACTCCTTAGAGAGTGTCACATACGACATTCACATATGCGTATCATCAGCGTCAAAGCGAGAAATTATATTATATATTACATGTTGATATAAAACATTTTTTCTCATTTATATGTAACAAAGGAAGAATTTGTCGATGTCGCTGAACGCCCACTTCGAACGAGGAGCGTTCGGTCAAGTACAAGGACATATTTTGGTTGTGTTTGTAATGACCAATTTGTATTCACGTTCATTGTCGTTTTATTATTAACCAAAACACTTTTTATTGTGACGGCAATTTGACAATTATAAGACAATTTTTCTACAGTTATAATTTTCATGTTCTAATTAATTTCACCTTGGATTTTTTCACAGATGAAATGAGACTAACACAAAAACTTTCATAATATCAAATTTCTAAAACAGAAAGAATGAGAAACAAATAAGACTTGCATAAAAAAAACATTTACGATATCTTTCTTTTAAAATTTCGATTCGAACTTAATAGATTAATTGATTATAGATGTCAAGGAACAAACAGATATCACAATCACGATGACCGGTCAGTTCATCATAAACACACAGATACATATACACGTTAGTGTGACTAACAAGGTGAAATGGGCACTAAATATACATAAATGTTATTTCAATTTTCTATAAACAAAAACACTCTTAACGAGGTATATTATAGTATATTTTAAAACTAACAACGATCTCTACGTTCTTCTGGGAAATCGTATCCATTTCAACAATTATCCTAAAAGCTGTAACTGATATTTTATTATCAAAGCAAAAGCTAAACGAGCGTAAAGTTCCCGGAATTTTCTCTTACCCGGATTTAATTTAAAACAAACTCATTAATACGTCAACAACATTGTACAAAAATACACTTACGGGGTCAAAAGTTTGTAACGGTCACGACCACCCAACCGCATCGGATTACCACAACCCCTTTTGTACATTTGACCCTGGAACTAAAACTTACCGTTGAAACAGGTGACAAGCGACAGCAGGGTGATGCAGACATGCATGGTGCTCACACGCTTAACACTTCGACAACTCACCATGGCACTATTATCAAATCACCATCCCACAAAACCAATTTATAAACCGCCCCCAGAAGGACACTTATTATCTACGATCAAAATTTCACCCTCGACCTGTACGTATGACGTAATACAAAGTTCGTGGCGTCCCGTTTCATAAACGAGGCGGCCGCTCTCTTTGGAGCGTCCCGTACGACTGAACGAGGGACCGTTAAAGGCTGCAAGGGTGAGGGGAGGGACGATATCAGAATGTTTTGTATCTTCACACAGCTATTTCCCTCCAAGAGTGGGCACCACGTGCTCTATTTAGGTAATTCTGATGTTATTATTGATACCATAAAACATGAAATACTTAATTGACGTCCGATACTTAACATGGGCCTTTATTGTTTCCCTTAATTAAAGTGATGTATTTAGAACATCACAAGTTGATTGAACTTTCAATATGTTGATTGAACACAATATATTTAGCTTTTTGTTTATGTTATAAATTGTCAAGAATATTTTAAATAATTGTATTTAGAGATTAACGACTTGTTCTCTATGATAGTGAAATGTTCGATTGATATAGTTCGAATGTAATGTAGGTATTAATCAGAAAACTGAGATAACCGGTCACTGTCGTAACAAAGCTTTCAGATCCAACTATTTTAATACCGAAACTCTATAGAAAAAAGATGTCATGCAACTTGACTGGTGTAGTATTGCATTTCAACTTGTGAAAAGGTTCACCAAGCCCCTTATAACGAGGGATAGGACATAAAACCTTTTTATGTTCTATTTGATGAACCCCATGCTATACTCTCTAGAGATTTATTGTATCTTTATTGTACTGTTTCATTTGACAGATGTTAAAACAATGACAAGTCTAAGACATTCCGTACCGCTTCCGAGTTTTTCTCGAAATCTTCTATAATTATTAAAACTCATTTGTCGTTCAAATTCTAATTACTGAGCTCGTGCAAAAATGTAGCTACAATTATAATGGGTCACCTGATGGTAAGCAACTACCACCGCCCTCAAAAGCCACAAGTGCGTTGCTGCCCTTGGAGTCCCTCCCGCTTGAGTCAGCGGGAAGGGGAATTTGGGCTCCGGTAACCTCACTCACTTAGTGAAAGGCAACGAAAGAAATGCTTAACACCGGTTTTCTGTGAAGCCGTGGTATCATTTCGGTCGAGCCGGCCCATTCGTGTCGAAGCATGGCTCTCCCACGATAGGTTTGTTAATTAAAAGGAAATTACTTCACTCAACAGTGATAACGTCTGTTACAGTTTTTAATAACACAAAGGTTTTTAACTTCTAAGTGGATAAGGCTATCTTATCCTCTTAAAGGGTTTAATGGCAATCGAATTAAGATATTAAAACCAAGGTTTTTCATAGTGTTTTAGTCTTAATAAAGACTTAAACACTGCGTTTGATAGGATTAAATTTAACTCATCTAAATTTATTTAAAAAATAATTTTAGTTTACACTTTTTTTCTCACCAAATCTGCCCATGAAATTACCTATTTACAGTCTATTTGTCCATCCAAATGTTGCCTGTAAGATATTGCTTTTTAGCGATAAGGCCGCCATTTGTACATGGTCATTACCTTGGAATACTATTGTATGTATAATATCCTGAATTGGTGAACAATAAAGATTATTCTATTCTATTCTATTCTATTCTATTCTATTCTATTCTATTCTATTCTATTCTATTCTATTCTATTCTATTCTATTCTATTCTATTTTATTCTATTCTATTCTATAGTTAAATAAAGTTAAATAAAATATATGATATTTTCTTTTCTGTGTTAAACAAAAAATATGTTTTTTTTTCGATAAGCGTGCAATAGGACGCTCACCAGATAGGAAATATCAGTAATTGTCGTACTGTGTGTAAACAATAAGTAGGAAAAAGTCATTTATATGAATCGTCCTGCCATTAGACTCCAGACCATTACCATTCCCTGTATTGTCCTTTCCGATTTATACTCACAGGACAATTTACTATAGTGCCACTGCATTAACTAAATCAATCAATCGAATGATCTGTGCAGCTACAGCTCAGTCACGAGCCTTCCATACAGGCATAATGACGATAACATCTAAAGTTATAATACTCTAGTTATAAAAGTCCGTGACTGTCAAAGAAGTTCGGCCGAATTCGTGCTAGTCCATCCTGACATAAGGAGTAAAAACTTGAAGCCGGGTTCAGAATTTACACGACTTTGAGGGTTGACACTCAATTGGTAACTTTCGTACCAGACGAAAAAGTGTAGAGATATTGTTTGAGACTGAACTGAATAATTCTTTGTTATAGAAAGTAGTTCGTTAAAAGTTACTATTTTATTTGGCAGTTACAGTTTTTTCAAAGCAGTTCTTTTTTATCTTTGCTGCATACAGACGTGAAGTCCTAGACTGATTGGACCCTAATATTATACGGAGTCTAGAAACATTCCACGTAAAAGCCGATTATAAGATTAACCAAACATCAACACATGTAATACACGGCCGTCTGATTCCAAAATAGACAAAGCCCATGCTATGGTAGTCAGATTGTTTAGAAATATATTTAGGTATATCTTTCTCAAGATCTACGTATCACGCATAAATTACATCCAGACATAGAACAAATAATTGAGCTCATTACACAAATATATGTCCTAGATGGGAACAGACTACCTATGGCTGAGCAGTCAGAGTCACTAGACAAACCGGCAAGTCATTAGGCGGGAATAGGCTGTGCAATAGAGCTTACAGCCGTTTTACCAGTCTAAGAAAGGCAAATCGAGATGTGTATTGTGATGTGAGATGTGTAGTTCTTTCTTAATCTTTGTGGAGATATACATGACATTACCCGGTGTAACCCATATTTTTGTGTATAAGGATTTAATAATAAGTATTACATTAAATTATTCAAATCCCAGTAACAAAGCACATAATAAAAAGGCGGCTTTTGGCAATGTTAAAATTTAATAAACGTGAACAAAACATTTGAAATGAGGAAATAACCAATCAGTAAATCTATATCTTTTAAAGCTAAAAGGTCATTAGAACGAAAATGATGCTAATCTGCTTATGACAAAAACATGGGCAATAAATGAAATGAATGATACGATGGACAACCAAGGATTGGATCCCGATTGTTAATACAAAAGCTATTGTTCAGTGTTATTAAAGACCTATTAAATCTTTAAAAGCACATTGAAACTTTATTACCATATAAACTTTTCAAATCAAGTGTGTTTTCATTCTCATAGATTTATTGGAAGGATCATAATTTGATGAATAGTGAAGCTTCTGGTTTTGATATCTATTGTTATGAAACTTTTCTCATAAAGCTTAGTTTAACAAAGAGAAGTAATCTGCGGGAAGCTATAGATCTACATGTAGATAAGAACCACGAGATTGTTTCAAATAATTTACTTTTGACGTGGTTGTGATGGTTCACCTTTGACCTTTTTACTAGTATAGTGATATGATAATGTTGAGGTCAAAACTATTTTAGGTAAAGTAAATATGTTTGTGACTATATAGACTTACAAATACACGGGTAACAGTTATGAGTTTACAGCTAAAGCCGATTTGTTTGATTTAAATTTAAGTGACTGACATTGTATAATGTATAGCCGAAGTCGAGAGGAAGTGAGGTTCAAGGAGGAAATAATTCCTTCATAGTACTCAATAAAAAATCTGATAGGTTAATCCTGAACTGTATTTGGATCCTCTCAACTTAAGATCAATATAACAAAACAATTGCCTAGGTCATACCTGTGGCAAATCTTGACACCGAGTTTTAATTTATGACGCGACAGTACAGAGTCATCTAGTGAAATTTAAGGAACTTCACTTGAACAAATAGTAGCACTAAGTATTTTTTAAGTTAATTTTGAGGTTTGGAGGTTTTGGCCTACTATACCACGCTGGCCAGACGGGTTGGTATAGGATTTGTTTCAAGCATTAGTTTGGACAGCCGCGAGGGGGCGGCGTCCGCGTGTGCCGGACGTCGCCTAAAGAGAGGAAATTTTTTTGAGACGAAGCCCGCAACAGGAGCAGGCCGGCGCTAGGAGGGGTCCGGATGTCTTAATAACAGATGTTCCCGGATCCCTAATATTACAGGCGCAGAGTGGCACACCGTGTGGTTTTAGTTTTAGTGGTGGGGTGACGGTCCGAGGGGATTTCCACACGTAAAAAAAAAAAAGGATTTGTTTCAAGTTTTCCTTTTGTTTTTGGGAATAAAAAAACTAATAAATTCAGAAGAAATATTACATATCAGATGTAACAATTAGATATCTATAAACATCATTATTCTGTTGAAGTGATGTGAAAATTATAATGTTTGAAAAGTATATGGTGTTGTATAAACGATTAAAATTTAACTATTTATATTGCTATGGCATAAAACAAAATGGCTTATACCACAATCACTAATAATTTTCAAGAATCAAATCATTATTTAAAGGTTTTCAGATAGTTATCAAGTTATCGGCTGCGGTATTTCCGGACCGATACGACCCTCGAACCTTCAAGAAAAGAGCGTACTCCTTCCTTAAAGGCTGGCAAAGCGCTTGTGACTCCTGAGTTGCAGGCGTTCTTGGCCGGCGGTAATCGCTTTCCATAGGGTGACCAGTCTGCTCGTTTGCCCCCTATTCCATAAAAAAAAAAAGTTTTAATAATTGCTTTATTATGTAAATTAAATTTTAAAAAGGCCTTAATCCCCAACTGTATCGGGAAATTCAGTACTAAAAGACTCTATAAGGAGTTTGGAAGTAAATAAATACGTATGTCTTACAATTAATCTATTGTTTCATAATCATCTTCAACAGCCTTTACTAGTCCACTGCTGGACATAGGCTGCAGAGCCTTAGGAAGAAAGATTAGAGATAATAATCTTACGACACCCTATGGAATAATATAATAGGGGTGGCGACACTTTGTATTCTTAATCCGTCACCACACGGATACAGATTCTTTGTTAATCATCAATCATCATCAACAGCCTATACTAGTCTACTGCTGGACATAGGCCTCTCCTT